TCCTGCTCCTCCTCCTCCTCCTTCCTCTCTCTTCCTCCTCTCCTCCTCCTCCCTCCTCCCCTCCTCCTCCTCCTCCTCCTGCTCTTCCTCCTCTTCCTCCTCCCTCCCCCCTCCTCCTCCTCCTCCTCCTCCTCCTCCTCCCTCTCTCCCTCCTGTCCCCTCCTCCTCCCTCTCTCCTCATCCTCCTGCTCGTCCACTCCTCCTCCCCCTCCTCCTCCACTCCTCCTGCTCCTCTGTCCTCTCCTCCTTCCTCCTTCCTCCTATCTCCCTCATCCTCCTCCTCCTCGTCCACTCCTCCTCCTCCTCCTCGTCCTTGCCTCCTCCCTCCTCCTCCTCCTCCTTCTCCTCCTCCTCCTCCTACTCCTCCTCAACCTTCTCCTCCGTTTCCTCCTCCTCCTCCTCCTTCTTCTCCTCCTCCTCTTCCTCGTTGTCTTCCTCTTGACGACACCCCTGCCGGGTGGAAACTGCTGCTCGGGGCGCGGGCAAAAAAACCGCTGGCGGAGGCAGGCGCGCGCGCGACCAGATGCAGCGCGGCGCGCTATGGCACGCGCGGCGCGCAACGGCTTTGATCCGAGGGCCGGGCCACCCGCGCGGCACCGGCAGAGGGCGGCCGCCATGAGCACGCGCACGCGGGGGACGGGCGTGCCGAAGCGCGGGGGAAGGCAGCGGGCTGCGGGGGCGCAGCAGCACATACTAGTACTATGCGCCCAGCTCGGAGGCTCCCGTCCGAACCGAGCACACATTACAAACATCGTGTAGAGTATCGCTCCCCGAACGGTACGACAAGAAAGCTCCCGCCACGGAGCTTACACTGTACGAGTTCTCGGCGCGCGCGTCGACCCTGGGGGGGGGCGATACACACATATACAGATTTGCATACATGCATGCATACATGCATGCATACACGCATGCATACATGCATGCATACATGCATGCATATATGCATGCATGTGTACGTGCATGCATGCATACACACACACACACACACACATGTGAATTCATTAAGTCATGCATCCATTCATTCATTCATACATACATATATACATGCATGTCTACATGCATACATTCGTACATACAGACATGCATGCATACATTCATGCATGCATACATGCATGCATGTATGCACACATACATACATACATGAATGCATATATATATACATATACATACAACTGAATAAGTGAATACATACGTACATACATACGTACATACATACATACATACATACATACATACATACATGCATGCATGAGCATGCATGTATGCATGCATGCATGCATACATACATACATGCATGCATACATACATACATACACGTATGCATACAATATACATACATACAGTTGCACGTACATATATATATATATATATGTGTGTATACATATCCATATGCAGAAACATACACACACACACATGCACATGCACATGCACATTCACATGCACATACATACATAAATGTATCAAATTAGGTTGCAACTATACATATGTATATATATATATATACACGATCAACATGTCTCGAGTAGGAGATCGTCTACATTCTCGATATACCGCAAATTAAACATACTATTGAACTCTGCGGAGAAGATGTTCGTAGACATACGAACGTGCACATCAAGTATGCAATCGATCGCCTGCTCGAATGTTGGGGTGACGCCGAGTAGATACCAAGCGGCCGCGTGCGTCAGCAGGATGCCGCCTGGACACGGGCAGCACTCCGGCGCTTTTCTGCCGAGCGGCAGGCAACCACGCGCGAGCCCTGCCCTGCAGGTCGGGCTTCCACTGACCCGGTGTCAGTCAGGCTTCACAGGATCCTGCAAGATCCTCTAGAATCCTGCAGGAGCCTGCGCGTCACACGCGGTCAATGCAACCCTGGCTTTGCAGGAACTTGCAAGATCTGGCGCTCTGGCTGACCCCAGGTTGCGTCGACCCCGTCTCAAGGCTCCCGAGCACGTCAGGCTTCTGAAGCGCCAGCGGGCGATGTGAATTCGAAGGATGTCTGCAGCCAGGTGAACTCCGACGGGCGTCCGGTGCCCCAGCGTCGAGTGGACCAAAAAGGTTAGGGCTCGCAATCGGTTGCGGAACGAGCGAGGTCCGTCCATGCCACGCTACCAAGGCGGCGAAAGCCCTGAGAGGCAGACTGAACATGGACTGTCGAATTCGACGGGTTCCTCCGGCTCTGGCGTGAGCCGACTCGTTCCAGTCCCAATCATGCGAGCCATCGGCGCTTTACTTTAAACGACCAGTGGGTATGGTCGTCGACGGCTGGAATGGGAGGGCGAACGGACGCACCCGGGAAAAGGTTGGCAGGGAGGGATGGGAGAGAGGGAGGGAGAGCAGGGACGAGGGAGAACGACTGGAGGGACTGGCGGAAGGAGGAAACATCGAAGTGGAATCGGCGATGCATCGCCGAAAGATCGGCGATGGGCCCCTGATGACGAAACCGCACGGTCACGGATGGGGTGGGGCCACTCAGCCACCATCGGCGGCGAAGAGCGCTCTCGACGAAACAGCGATTCCACCGATACGGACACTCGACGCCCCAAACTCGAAAAGACGGCACCGGGAAGCTGGAAACACACATGGCTGGATTCACGTGTCCAAGAAGAAGAAGAAAGGAAAAAACAAACAAACAAACAAAAAAACAAACAAACAAACAAAAACGTGCGAGACGCTGTTCTCGTCTTCGTTTTCGTCGTCGTCGCCAACCCCAAAGAAGTTTAGAGACGGACCACAAAAACTGCGCATTCAAGTCGACTCCCTCCCCTGCTCCCCTCTCTGACGGGGGGGGAGGGGCAGGGGGGGAACAAATGGGGGGGGGCTATAAAGCAGGGATTACCGCTCCACCGAGCGTCTCCCCGGCCACCCCCCGTGGACAGGAAGCACAAGGGGGGGGCCTGTAGGACCTCTTGCTTGCGCGATTACAACCCATTGTTACTTCATTGATTCAATCGTGCACCATTCGTAAGACCTGAAGACGCCACCTGAAGTTAACCTTCGGTCCTACACTGCACGACATTTCACAAACAACTCGTTGTTTTCGATTGTGGGGGATGTCCAGAAGCAGCGTCGTGGGGCCGCAAGAGCTTACCAGAAAATCAAGAAAACAAGAGACTGTTTTGAAAACTGTTGTTTTCATGCGGACAAAAAATTGAAGAAAACCGGTGGCTCCCGGCATTTGATGGTTAAGCGAATTAATCCATTGACAACCCAATTTCTTTCTGTTGTACTGATTGTCCACGTGAAAACACAGCATCGTTCTCGTTTTCCTTGTTTATTACACATTGATTTAAAATCAAGATTATACACCGTACTACAATTTGGTACATGTGTAATATACTTATATGTCCCACCAGCATGCTACAATTTGTGAGCGGATGACAATGCGTCAATGGGTTTCATTTTGATTCATGTAACTAATCATTACTCCCCACACCTAAAAACAGCACATGAAATATGCACATCCCCAATTCAAACACATGCGATACTCCGCACAATCAAAAGTCAGTTTGTACATCCACATAGCTATAATCAAACTTTTTAATACTCAAGTTACACTACCGAAGAAACTCAAATATGATTGTACGTCTTGCGTGTAGAGTGGGCGGGTGGCGGCCTCGCCAGACACTGCATCCTGGCATCGTCGCCTCCTTCCCTGGTGTACTCTGTGTTGGCGGTGCCTGTAGTCCGGGGTGGGTACCTGTAGTCCGGGGGGGGGGGGCCAGTAGTCCGGGCGGGGGGACCTGTACTCCGGGGAAGGGTTACAAGTAGTCTGGGGGTGGGGCCGCGCGGGGGTACCTGTAGTCCAGGGGGTGCGCATGTTATTCGTCGAAGCACGCGTGGCTCTACGCGCACGGGTTTCGGCGCGCGGGTGCCTGCGCGCGCGGGACTGCACGCGCATCGTTTCACGCGTCACGCGCACGGGCACGCGCGCTGACTCGCGCGAACACACACGCTACTGCATGTAGGGGGCACGCGCAAGTATGAGGAACGGCGATTATTTGCCAGATCTTGCCTGATTGCGCTGTCTGCTTCGGTCACATGCTTGGTGGGCCGCTTTGGCTCCCAGGGGATACCGAATTGACGGGGTCCTGGAGCTTCGGAGAGAATTTGTAGCGCCTAACGGGGGTACCTGTAGTCCGGGGGGGGTACCTGTAGTCTGGGGACGCGTGGGAGGGGTACCTGTAGTCGGGGGGGGGGGGGTACCTGTAGTCCGGGGGGGTACCTGTAGTCCGGGGGGGTACACGGAAGGGGTACCTGTAGTTCGGGGGGTACCAGTAGTCCAGGGACCCAGAACTATTGAGGGACACGGAGTAGAAGCGCAGTGTACTTGGTGAAGAGCGTACCAGGCCACCAATCATTGAGCTGTCGGTGGCAAGCATTGAAGGCGTGTCTCACCAGAAGTGCATCGCAGTTGCGCAAGTTGTTTATGCAGACTTCGGCGCCCATGTCAGCCATAGAATTCAGTTGCAAACACGGAGGCGGCAGCGCGTCGAAGCACTTGGGCGGCATGGCAGGCGCACACACCGGGGCGACGACTGCTGCCTTCGGACCAGCTGGAGCCAAGATGTCCGCAGTTTTGGTTGGGACACAAACCCTCGACCGTCACCTGGCGGCTAGCGCCATTGCCACCGCAACCCGTGATGGACTCGAGAGCTCGGGACTGGACCCAGCCTGGCAGAAATTGCACAACCTCCCATCACTCCCTGCGCACCCCCTGGGCACCCCCTGCGGTGTGGAGAATGTGCCAAGCCTGCCACACCCTGTGACCAAGCACGCATAGCGACCCCTCCCCCATTTCCCTGATCACCTCAACTCCCATGGGCATCGTTTCTGGATGGGCTGGTGGGAACGCGCGAAGCGTCAACAACTTCATCTGTTCTTCGACGTCATTTCAGAATCGCCCCTGCATTGATCGACGATCTTACCTTTGAAGAGGAGGAGGAGGAGGAGACGGAGGAGAAAGAGGAGGAGGAGGAGGAGGACCGCTGGCGGCCTGATCACGCCGCGCGGCGCGACTTCACGGTCAGCTTCTTCTTCTTGAACGAGGTATTGATCTTGGCGTACTTGGCCAGTGCGAGGTCGAGGAGGTCCTGGAGGGAAAGGGGGGGGGTGGGGGGCAGCGAACGCGGTGCGCAGTGGGGGGAGGGGGAGGGGAGCGGGAAGGGGGAGGGGAAGAGGGAGCGGGGAGGGGGAAGGCGGAGGAAGGGGAGGTGAGATGGGGAGAGGGGGGAGGGGAGGGGGCCGCGAAATCGGATCGGATCAGATCGGAAATGGATCGGATCGGAGGGAGGGAGGGAGGAAGGGAATGGGGAGAGTGAGATGGCGGAGGGAGGAGGGAGCGGAGAGAGAGCGGCGGGGAGGAGGCAGGAAGGAGGAGGAAGAGAGCGACAGCAGCAGCAGAAGGGAGAAGGGATCAGGGCGCCCTGCACCGCGGTCCCTTGGACGTCTGCTCAAGGCGCAGCAGACTTGGCCAGCCCAGCTGAAGACCCCGTATCCCGGCTGTCCACCGCCTTGAGGTACCGCGGTGCACGAGGCGCACTTTTGCCGGCATCGACAGGCATCGGCCGGCCCTGCCACCCCATCGGGCCGCCAGCAGATCGGCACGTGCATCGACCAGCCACGGGACACGCGGTGGAGAACCCCTGGACGGCAACCAGGGCGCGTGCGAGCATCCGGGAGCAGACAAGAAGGCAGAGAGCGTCCGCCTTACCCTCGTCCTCTTCCTCCTCCTTCTCCCTCCACCCTCCTCCCTCCTCCCTTCTCCCTCCGCCCTCCTCCCTTCACCATCCTCCCTCCTCCCTCCTCCCTCGCGCATCCCTCCTCCCTCCTCCCTCCACCCTCCTCCTCCTCGTCCTCGTCCTGCCTCCACTGCGTCGAGGACCCAGCCTGCGCCGCAAGAGGCCTCGGAGGGGACGCGCGAGGCTCCCTCTCCCGGGCCGCCACGGCCGGCTCGCGTCGCAACGACTCGCGCGCGCCGGCTCCCGGCACCGCGTGCCCGGCTCGATCTCCAGCGATCGCGGCTCTCTGGCAGCGCAGGTCGCTCGATGCCAGCCGATGCTGCGCCCCTGGCGGCCGTCCAGCCTCGCGGGCGCACGCGCTGGGGTCGCAGGCGGCGTCGGCACGGCACCGAATCCCAGGTCGCCCGACTCCGCGCGCCCTGCGCCCCGTGGGGCGCGAATTCATCTTTGCGCCCCTGCGCGCCCCCGCCCTCGGAGAAGAAGGGCAACCGCTCCTGACCCCAGACCTACAAGGGAACGTCAGGGGGGGACCGGCGGCGGGGGGGGTAGCATCGACCTGGAATCGGCGATGCATCGCCGATAGATCGGCGACATGCTTTGTGTTGCTCCCATCGTACTCCAGGACCACATCCCAGAAATGATTGCGAGCACCGAGAAAAGTATCAAAACAGTACCGAACGAGTGTCGCCTCCCAGGGCCCGACACGTGTGAAAACCCTCCAGTTCCGGTACTTTCTTGGTGCTCGAAATTCTTTCTGGTGTTCAAACCTAAAGTAGGTTGGAACATCATAAGACATGTTCCCGACAGCGGACCCGAACGGTCATGGGCGGTGTGGGCCATCGGGGCCCCTATCAGAGATGGACGGACGATCGGGGGTCGATGCATCCCCCCTGAGCCTAGCCCCTGGTGACGCTCGGGTCACACCTCGGCTCTGGTAGCCGTTCGGGGCGATCCAGGCACCCCCAGAAGGCCCTCGGCGAGACACGGCCGCTGGAAAGCATCCCGAGGCTGGAAAACCACCGAAAACCCAAAGAAAACGCCGGAAAACATCGAACCTAAAATTCGCGGCGCGCTGGGCGCGATGATCTCCGCGCCCCCGCGGGCGCTGAGCCTGCCACACCAGCCACCGGGAGCGGCTGCCATCGTCGGAGGGCGACGGTGAGGCGCTCACCCTCTGTGCCGCAGAGCTGCGGGTGCGAAGGCGGCACCGCCCCCGGCAGAGGAGGAGGAGGAGAAGGACGAGGAGGAGGACGAGGAGGAGGAGGAGGCGGAGGAGGAGGAGGATGAGGAGGAGGAGGGAGGGAGGGAGGGAGGGAGGGAGGGAGGGAGGAGGGAGGGAGGGAGGGAGGAGGAGGAGGAGGAGGAGGAGCCGGAGGAGGAGGAGGGGAGGAGGAGGAGGAGGAGAAGGAGGGGAGGAGGAGGAGGAGGAGGAGGAGGAGGGAGATCGAGGAGGAGGAGGAGGAAGGAGGGGAGGAGGAAGAGGAGGAGGGGGAGGGAGGGAGGGAGGGAGGAAGGAGAAGAAGGAGGAGGAGGAGAAGAACAAGGAGGAGGCTGAGGAGGAGGAGGCGGAGAAGGAGGAAGGAGGAGAGGAGGAGGAGGGGAGGAGGAGGAGGCGGAGGAGGAGGAGGGGGGAGGAGGGGAGGCGGAGGAGGAGGAGGCGGAGGAGGAGGAGGCGGAGGAAGAGGAGGAGGAGAGGAGGAGGAGGAGGAGGAGGAGGAGGAGGGCGAGGAGAGAGCAGGAGGAGGAGGAGGAGGAGGAGGAGGAGGAGGAGGGGGGAGGAGGAGGAGGAGGAGGAGGAGGAGGCCCAGGCCAGGGCTGGACGGCGGCCGCCGGCCTCTTGGCGGGGGCGCGCAGGAAGGAGGCTGGAGGCCGCGCGGTCGGAACGGGTCGGATCGGAGACGGATCGGATCGGCGAGCTCGAGTCTCACGAGTCCCCGAGCCCCGGACCCACGACGATCATGATCTGTTCAGGGCGTGGACCCCGGACGTCTCGACCCAAAATTCCCCGGGACCGGCGTCGTTCTTCGACGGTCCTGGGGCCTGGCGAGGGGAGGGCCCCCAGGCGCTCGGGGGAAGTGAGAAGGAGTAGGCCTTCTCAGAAGCCCTCGCGCCTTCTGACAAGGTTCCTGCGTCTTCGGGAGAGGCTTAGCAAACTTCTAAGAAGGCCCGAGGCCTCCTAAGCCTTCCGAGAAGGCCCGCCACTTATCACTCCCCCCCAGGCTCGCCGCCGATTCATGACCCTGAGGCACTAGCACCGTGCGGCCAGGGAGACACCAGCAGCGGGTGGCCAGGGAGGATGAGGAGGGAGGAGGGAGGACGGAGGAGGGATTAGGGAGGAGAGAGGAGGGGGGAGGAGGAGGAGGAGGAGGAGGAGGAGGAGGAGGAGGAGGAGGAGGAGGAGGAGGAGGAGGAGGAGGAGAGGAGGAGGAGGAGGAGGAGAGGAGGAGAAGGAGGACGAGGAGGGGAGGAGGGGGAGGAGGAGGGGGAGGGGGGGGGGGAGGAGGGCGGAGGAGGAGGGCGGAGGAGGAGGGCGGAGGAGGAGGAGGAGGGAGAGAAAGAGTGAGGAAGCAAAGAAGGGAGGAAGAAAGGGAGGGAAGGGGAGGAGGGAGGAAAGAGGAGGGCGAAGGGAGGATAAGGAGGAGGAGGAGGAGGAGGAGGAAGAGGAGAAGGTCGCCTCAGCAGCCAAAGCTGCCCCGTCTACGGGGACGGGCGCGAAGCGCCGTAGCGCTCGGCTGGTGACGTGGCGTCGAGGAATCCGTCTTCAAGTGCAGACTACTGTTCAGCAGAAAAGGGCAGGAGAAACCAACTGTCGTTCCTTGCATCGAATCCTTCTGATTGCGGATAGCTGCAAACGTCGTCTACACACTTCTTATGCGGACGATTAGGGGCAGGAGAAAGAAGAAGAAAGGGCAGAATCGAAGGTGTGGACTCCTCGCACGCTAGTGGACGGTCGCTTGAACCGCGCAACCCCAACCCCCTTTGGGCTGGTGCGCATCGCGCACAGACGCAGGCGGCAGGGCTTCCTCCTTCCTCCTTGCGTTTTTGCTCGTTCCTCCTCCCTCCCCCTTCCTCCTTTTTTCTTCCATCCTTTTGTGTTCCACATCTGCTCCTCGCTCAGTTCATCCCTTGCCCCGCCTTCCTCCTCCCTCCTCCATCCCCCCTGCTCCTCGAACAGGACAGGGCAGCGCAAGGAGCGGGCGGGTCAGCGCGGGGGCCGCCGGGCGGCAAAGGGCACCGGGCAGGCGGATGTGCCAGAGGCCCTGAGGAGACCAACAGGGGCCTCCTCCTCCCTCACCACGCTCCCTACTGGCGGCGCGCAGAAGGGGGGAAAGGGCGAGGAGGAGCTTGATTTTTTATTGGGGGGGGGTTACGCCCGTTACGGGGGTCGCGCCCCAAGTTGGGGGTAACGGTAACGCGCGGCGGGGCCCTCGCACGGGCCCTGGTACTTATTACCAGCACAACTGTCGGCACGGTAAGTTTCGTCGTCGTCGTCGTCGCCGCTGTCGTCGTCGTCGAAGCCGAGCGTGCCTGTGCACACTACACAGGCTCTGTACACCGCGATGCCTTTGTACACAACAACTGCGGCTTAAATGGGATGTGTGTGCACCACGGCGACTGAGCACATCATGACAGGCGGGTGCACCACAGCGCCCTTGTACATCTCACTGTTGGTGCACACCACGGCGCCCGCGTGCACCACAGCTGCTGTTTCAACGCCCCGTGTTTGCACCAGAATGCCAGCGTACACCACAAAGCTTGTGTACACCTGTAAGGTACCGGCGGAGCGAAATTCCAGAAGATCGCTCGGGGCCCAACCGTGGCCCTTTCATTATGTGAGCTGCTTGTCAAACAGCGCTCGGACCTGTTGAACCCACAGCGCTTGTGTACTCCATTGCGACTGTGTACACCATGGGAGTGTGAACCGTGGCGCCTGTGTATACCACATGGCATGTGACCCCACAAAGCTTGTGTACGGTTTTTTTGTGCGGAGTGTAAACCGCGCACCGTGGGGGCGCGCGGGGCGGCGGCAGCCTAGGGAATACAGGAAGCAGGAGCTCCCTGCACAGGCACAAGGCCCTTGAGACATGGGTCGCCTGCTGGAGCGTGCACGCGGGTGCGTCGTCGTCGTCGCCGTCAGTTGCGACGGCGACCGGGGGGGCGACGGCGGCGGCGGCGGCGACACGGGCGGCGGCGACGGCGACCACGACGACGACGACGACGACGGCGGCGGCGGCGACGACGACGCCGACGGCGGCAAGCGGCGGCGGCGGCGGTGAAGGTGACCGCCGCCGCCGTCACCGCCGTCGTCGTCGCCGCCGATGCCGCCGTCGCCGTCGCCGCCGCCGCCGCCGTGTCCGCAGCCAGTTGCCGAAAGCTTCAGCAGCGCTTGGGGCCCACTTGCTGGATACACATGCGGGGGGCTGGCGTGACCAGCCGCGCGAGGTAAGAGGGCCGAACGCTGGAAGGACATGCGGCCACATCCGCGTGCAGGTCTCGCCCAGTCCAGCCCCTTGCACCAGCACAGGGAAAATGGAGGGAGGACAGTGGTAGTCATAATGATATTGTGAGAGTGCACCGGCTGGTTGCGCCATGGCTTGCCCGATGCGTTACACCACACGTTGTGCTTGCGTACAATTACCTGCGCCATAGGTTGAGCCGTAAGCTGCGCCATAGGCTGCGCCCCCAGGGCGTGCCATAGCTTGCGCCATAGGTTGCGCACCCACGGCGCCCCACAAATCGTGCCTTACGTTGCGCCTTAGGTTGCGCCCTCAGGGCGTGCCATAGGTTGCGTCGATGGTTGCGCCACAGGTTGCGCCAAAGGCGGGGCCATTTTGTGGCGCTGCGTTTCAACGGAACTCCTGGTGCGGACCAGAGGAAGATGATCCCCCTCCTCCTCCGATCCCCCTCCGATCCTCCATCCTCCTCCTCCTCCTCCTCTTCTGCCCCCTCCTCCTCCTCATGCCCCTCCTCCGATCCCCCATCACCTCCTCCTCCTCCGATCCTGTTCCAACCCTCCTCGTCATCCTCGTCCTCCTCATCCTCCTCCTCCTCCTCCCTCTGCCTCGCTCCCCCCTCCCCCCAGGAGGTGAGAGGAGGTGGAGGGCACGAGCACTGGAGGGAGTGCAAAAGCAAGGCAAAGGAGGTGGAGGGGCCAGGCCGGAACCCGTTGAAAGGTTCGCGCCGAGGGATGCGAACCTCGAACCTCGAGGATCGAGGCATCTTGGCCCTCGAGGGCCTTCATCGTCGCCGCGGCTGGACGCGGCTCGGGAAACTGGTGCGTCTGAGCCCCAGTCGGGCCCCGTGGACCCATTTTGAGTTTGCGCCGAGGTTCGAACCTCGAACCTCGAACCTCGAACCTGAGCACACATGTGAGCGTCACAGCATGCCTGCCTGGACGGAGGGGGGGTCCGCACCCCCGTCCCCGTACGCTCGTTACCGTTACGGGGAGGGGGGGGACCCCCCCCGTAACGGGCGTTACGGGTCCGAGCAATAAAAAAACAAGCTCGAGGGGGAGGCGTCTGAGAAACAGGCTGCTTCGCAGAAGGCGCAGACAAGGCCCGCGCCCTCCAAGAAGCCGTCCGCCCTCTCCCTACCGCTCTCTGCGCGTGGCCGACCTTTGATGGGCAACGTCCGGGGGGGACCAGCGCAGGGAAGGGGGGGAAACACCGACCTGGAATCGGCGGTACATCGCCGGTAGATCGGCGAGGTGCCCCCGAGAGCGAATCCGCGCGCTCCTGGGCGGGGTGGGGCTATCGGGCCCCCAACTAGCGGCGGCCCATGGGCGAGGATGAACAGGAAGCGAACGTGGAGGAGGAGGAGGAGGAGGAGGAGGAGGAGGAGGAGGAGGAGGAGGAGGAGGAGGAGGAGAGGAGGAGCAAGGGGGAGGAGGAGCACGAAGAGGAGGAGGAGGAGGAGGAGGAGGAGAGCCCATGCACCCCACGCCCCCTGAGCCTCCTCTCCTCCCTCCCACCCCTAGCGTTGCCCCCGAGCCCTCCCTGCCTCCAGACCTGCCCGGGGCGACTCGGCGGAGCGCGGCGGGAGCGTCTGCCTCCACAGGCGCGCAGAACTTCGCGCTCTCGCGCGGCCCCAACCCCCCGGGGGAGAGGAGGACGAGGAGGAATCGGAGCCGCACCGTGAAGCGCGAATAACTCCGCGGCCTCGAGGGCGCCCACGCTCTACCGACGGGGCGCGTCCTTGCGGTAGTGGCCCGCGCCCAGCGCCTTCTCCAGCTGCGCGGCGCCCTTCTTGGGGGCCTCCGCAACCCGAGCACCGCGCCCTGTTTCGCGCAGAGCGAGGCGCGGCCATCGGGGAAGTCAACAGGTACCCATACCGCTACAGTCGGGCCGCTACCGTAAGGAACGAGAAATCAGGAACGAAGGGGGTCCTTTTTGTGACGGCGAGCCTCGTCCAGGATAGGCTCCCCGACCTATCTAGGGAATGGCCCAAAAACACGAGCCCCTCCTGAGCCCAAGGCGGTCCTCAGGTCAGCGTCTTGACTGTACTTCCCAGACCTCTCCTGGGGTGCGCTCTGACCAGAATTGAACTTCGAGGCGAACCCAGCGGTGGCGACGAGGGCCCTCCCAGGAGGCCCCACGAGGGCGAAGATGGCGGCATGGGTACCTCTCCCTCCTCTGAAGCACCCCTTCGCGCTCTTGCGCGCGCCGCCCGTGAGTAAGGGCAGTCCTGCAGCCCGGACCGAGAGGCAACGAGGGCCGCTGTCGCCGCGGCCCCCCCAGCTCAGCCTGGCAATGCCTCCGC